ACACACACAATGGAGTAGCAATAATTATTATTATAGGATAAACACAGAGAGAGCAAAAACACACAAAACACAATAACATTAAAAAACAAAAAAAGAAAAGAAAATCCCCAACAGGTGGAAGTTTAGTTAGACTGTAGTGTGGATGCATGCAAAAAAAAAAAAAAAGAAAACAAAGGATGACCTGAGTCACCACACCACCACCATCACTCAATCAGCACACAAGAATACAGGCCAGTGTAACCACAATCAGTAGTGGTACACGCACCCACACAGAACTGCTGATACTGCTGCTGCTGTCTGCATCACCCTTCTTGTTGTTTGTGAGTTCAGGGGGAAGTGTTGTGGTTGTTGTTGTGGTGGTGGTGGTCGTCGTATCTGTACTTTCCAAAACAGATGGGTTATTTGTTGATTCACCCTCTGGAGTAGTAGTGCCATTTCCAGCGTTTGCAGTATCAGAACCAACATCACTCCCTGTGGCTGAAGTATTAGGAGAAGAAGGTTGTGCCGCTTCATTTCTTTGGTGGAGTTCACTTCCTTCTGTTGTACTGGCGCCGCGACTTCCAGTTTGACCTTCAACGGCAGGAGCATCGCTACTCCCCGCAGCGGAATAAGCACCACCACGTGAGCTGTTTCCACCTTGAGTATCTGGATTCTCTTTTTCACTAGGAGGAACAGGAACAGGAACAGGAACAGGAACAGGTGTTTCAGCAAGATCTTGAGGTCGTGCATTAGAAGCGGAATTCCGGTCATTTGCAGGACGGCTATCACTATTGAGAGCTGGAGGTTCGTTAGAATTTTTTTCATGTTTTTCATTTGTTTTAGCATGATCCGGTTCATTTGGTTTAGTTGGATGACATGAGGTTTCAGAACCAGGAGTGCAATTCTTTTGAGCGTCGCGATCCTCAGGAGGGCAACCATCTGACCTAGATGATTCCGCACAAGCAGTACGACCAGCTTCAGGTAAACCACCGATATCAGGACACGGAGTACCGGTCTTGCCTTCAGGACAAGCATCATCACCAGCAGCGTCCCTTGCAATATCACCACCAGAAGTTCGAGGAGGACCAGCAGCACCAGCAGCACAACCACTACTATCACCTTCTCGGCAAGCGGAATCAGCCTCATTTACAGTTTGAGTCCCTGCAGCTACCAGACAGAGACAGTCGACACTCACAAGCAAAGCGAGAAAACACAAAACACGGTGCACCATCATTGTTATAATAATTAGAAATACTCTCTGAGTTCACTTTTGTACAAAAATAAGAAGACAAAGAGAGAAAGTCAAAACAAAAACAAATAAGAATTAAAGAAAAGGTAATCAATCACAAGTCCAGAAAAATCACCTAGACAAAATCTAATTAAAAGAAAATAACAAACAGTACCCCATTCTTAAGCAGAAACTCCCAATAAATAAAAGGGAAAGAAAAGAATCCAAGAGCACAATGAGCAGAAAAAGAAAACACACAAATACGTTTCTATGGATACGCTTTGCAGGGTATACGCAATCATGATCATAGATGTATCTGTTACTCTTTTACCTTACTCAGCACAAAGCAAATCAACAAAATACTGCAAGGCAAAGCACACAACGGCCTCAGCAAACCACACTAGCAAAGAAAAAGATGTTAATCATTAGCCCAATTTACACAGTAAATACCAGAAATACACCAACTATGGGTATAAGTCTATATGTATATATATGCAATTATAAATATAAATATTCATCTGTTAGTATTATTTCTTTCCCTTTTTTCCACTGCAAAAAACAGTTCATCATCATCATCATAGTGCAAGCCCAGGTGCACACACACACACAGAGAGAGTCTCCAAGAACACACACACACAATGGAGTAGCAATAATAATTATTATTATAGGATAAACACAGAGAGCACAAACACACAAAACACATTAACATTAAGAAACAAAAGAAGAAGAAAATCCCAACAGGTGGAAGATTAGTTAGACTGTAGGGGATGCATGCAAAAAAGAAAAAGAAAACAAAGGATGACCTGAGTCACTCCACACCACCACACCATTACAATCAGCACACAAGAATACAGGCCAGTGTAACCACAATCAGTAGTGGCACACGCGCCCACACAGAACTGCTGATACTGTTGCTGCTGTCTGCATCACCCTTCTTGTTATTTGTGAGTTCAGGAGGAAGTGTTGTTGTTGTTGTGGTGGTGGTGGTTGATTCTTCATTATTGGTTGTGTTGTCATTGTTCTTCGTTGTCTCATCCTCTGCAGGTTTCGCAGCACCATTAGCATTCTCAGCTTCAGCATTCTGTCCTTGAGAAGTTTGGTTGTTGTCCAAAGATTGAGGTTGTTCCGTTGTACCGCTTTGATTGCTCTCAGAATCTCTTGTATCTGTATTAGATACACCTGAAGATTCTGAGGACTGTGAACCATTTCCTGCGGGCTGCTGAGTTCCGTTATTCTGATCAGCCCCTCCACTGATCACTGGACCTGTTGTTGTTTCTTCAGTCCTCAGACCTTGATCGCCATTCTTCTCATTTTCCTGCCTTCCATCGTTATTATCTGGCCCTGGCACACCTGGTTTACCTCCCACTTGGTTTACACCAGTTAAAGTACCAGAGGGTTCTGAAACAGCATCACCTGGTTGCCTTTGCTGACTTTCCAAATGCTGCTGTTCTCCACTCCCCGCAAGACCATCACCATCACCAGGGTCAGAGACTTGGGAAGTATTCATGGTACCACTATCAGCTACTTTATGAGTTCCAGCAATTGTCGGCGTAGTAGGACAGGAACCTTTAGCAAGACCACCAGAAACAGTTTTGCAAGAGTCAACACCAGATTCAGAATCACCAGGACGAAGTGGTTGTTGTTGTGGTTCTCCACTCACAGCAGTACGCACATGACTACAACGTGTATCCTGAGAATCGTCAGTGCAAGCAACACTTTCTTCATTATGGGAAGGCGTCTCCGCTGAGGCGCATAGAGACGGAACACTCAGCAGCACCGTCAGTAAACACAACACACGAAACAACAACATCACACCAAGAGTTAATTTAGTTTGTTTTGCGTCACGCAACTGAAGAAATAAAAACGGAACAGAGAGAAAAGGCAAAACGTTATAATACAATAAAGACAAAGAGACTAGAAACAAAAACAACAGAAAAAGAGTAAAAAAAAACAATACAACCAGAAACAACGATGAAGAAGCCCACAAAAAGACATCTCAAACAATCTCAAACAAAACAAAAGAAAAAAAAAACTAAGAGCATGAACATTAACATCATAAAACACAGAAACCAGCGGAACATGGTTATAGTGGAATTCATAAGCAACTATGCATAGGTATAATTTCTCTTTTTCCCGCTGTGCAGAAAGCATACCACCAAAAGAATGCAGAGCAAAGCACACAATGCCCCAGCAAACCATAATTAAACAAACAAAATTATTAACCATTAGCCCAACATACTCAGTAAACACAGAAATACACCAACTATGGGTGTAAGTCTATATGTGTATAAATACGCAATTATAAATATAAATTCATCTATTATTATTATTTCCTTTTTGCTCACTTCAAAAAACAGTTCATCATCATTATTATCACAGTGCAAGCCCAGGTGCACACAGAGAGTCTCCAAGAACACACACACACACAATGGAGTAGCAATAATTATTATTATAGGAAAAACACAGAGAGCAAAAACAACACACAAAACACATTAAGAAACAAAAAAAAGAAGAGGAAAATCCCAACAGGTAGAAGATTAGTTAGACTGTAGTGTGGATGCATGCAAAAAAGAAAACAAAGGATGACCTGAGTCACACCATTACAATCAGCACACAAGAATACAGGCCAGTGTAATCACAATCAGTAGTGGTACACGCACCCAAACAGAACTCCTGATACTGCTGCTGCTGTCTGCATCACCCTTCTTGTTGTTTGTGAGTTCAGGAGGAAGTGTTGTTGTTGTTGTGGTGGTAGTGGTGGTGGTGGTGGTGGTTGAGGTGTCTGTATTTTCCAGACCTTCTTGGTTACTTGTTGAGCCACTCCCATTGTTTGCAGTATCAGAACTACTGGCATTATCTTTCTCAGAAGTGGTGGTGGAAGAAGGTCGTGTTGCCTCAGCATTCGCATTATCTGATGCACCTTCACCTGCTGCACTGCTGCCGCTGCCTCCAGGTTGACTGTCGCCTTGAGCCGGAACAGCACTCTCCTCAGCAGAAGAAGAAGAAGCAGCGGTGAGGGCAGGTGCCCCAGGAATACCAGAAGAAGAACCACCACCAACAACATTACCAGTCGCAGCAACACCAGAAGCAGACTGTCCACCAAGTGTATCCGGTTCTTTTAGTGTAGTGGGAGCTGGTTCCTTTGTTGAAGTGGGAGCTGGTTCCTTTGGATCTTTTGGTGCTGTTTGTGGACAAGATTTTTCAGAAGCTTCCAGACAGTTGGCCTCACTTTCACCATCCTTTTTAGTGCAGTGCTCCTTGCCAGGAGGGTCCGCACAGTCAGGACGAGAATCTTCAGATACTTCACGGTTGTTTTCACACTTGGAACCACCCTTGCCTGTATTACGACAAACATCACCATCAGAATCAAGTGGGGGACTAGAAGGTGGAGCTTCTTCCCCTTCAGAATCACTTCCCTTAAGGCCACTTCTGACACGATCAGCACCAAGTTGTTCTCTTTCTTCCAATCCTCCCCTTGTCCCTGCACCACCAAGACCTTCACCAAGACTCTTGTCAATAGTAGTGGACTGTCCATGAACAAGATCTCCAGAAGGCTGCTCCAAATTCTCCACAGCACCCACACAAGCAACGCTCAGCACAAAGAGAAGAAAAAACAGCACACTATTCATCGTCACGATAGCAAGATCTATTTTTTTGATTTTAGGTCACTTAACTGCAGAAGAAAAAAAGGAAAAGAAGATAAACACGAGCACACAATAGTAAAGAAACAGAGAGGCACAAACCATGAAGAGCATAAAATAAGTATCAGTTACACATAACAAGGCCACCAGCTTAAACAAAAAAGACTTCAATAAATGCTCACCAGAACACAGTAAAGAAACAAACGCAAGAAAAATAAAATTAAGATCCTGAATAACAGTACCACCAAACAAAGAAAAAACACAGATCATTCTTTATGTTTGAGGTAATACGCAATTATGAATAAAAAGGTGTATCAGTTATTCTTATTTTTTTCTGCAGAAAACAGACTACCACAACCGTGCAGGACAAAGCACACAATGATCCAGCAAACCAAACGCACAAAAAAGATATTAATCATTAGCCCAATTTATCCAGTAAACACAGAAGTATACACCAACTATGGGTGTAATTCTATATGTTTGTATGTAAGCAATGATAAATAAAAATTCATCTGTTATTATTTTTTCCTTTTCCCACTCATTGCAAAAAACAGTTCATCATTATCATAGTGCAAGCCCTTAGGCACACACAAAGAGAGTCTCCAAGAACACACACACAATGGAGTAGCAATAATAATTATAGGATAAACAAAGAGAGCAAAAACACACAAAACACATTAACATTAAGAAACAAAAAAGGAAGAAGAGAAATCCCAACAGGTAAAAGATTAGTTAGACTGTAGTAATGCATACAAAAAAGAAAGAAAAAGAAAACAAAGGATGACCTGAGTCACACCACCACACCACTACACAATCAGCACACAAGAATACAGGCCAGTGTAACCACAATCAGTAGTGGCACACGCACCCACACAGAACTGCTGATACTGCTGCTGCTGTCTGCATCACCCTTCTGGCTGTTTGCAGGCAAAGGAGGAAGTGTTGTTGTTGTGGTGGTGGTGCTGGTGGTTGTATCTGTATTGCCTGCATCACCTTCTTGTGTAATTGGTGACTCACTCCCTGCAGATGTCGTGCTGCTCTCAGTTCTTTCAGCACCAGCGCCAGAAGCACTCTCGTTGTCCGAATTGCTGGGTTGAGTTACAGAAGAAGATTGCGTATTACTGCTCAGTGCATCTTCAGCTAATGTTTCTTGATCCCTGCCACTGGGTACTTGTATTGTGTCAGTTGTAACTGTTTCTGGCACACCGTTAAGTTGTTTGTGCACGCTTCCTTCATCTTCGGGGAATCCTATTTGTTTATTTCCCTCACTTTGTCCAGTTTGTTCTGTGCCCTTTACCACCGTGGATTTACCAGGACTACCAGGAGCAGCGCCCTCTTGAGGTTGGTTGTTTTGTGGTAGTTTGACACCATGCTTTTCCTTTCCATCTTGACCATCTTCTGTATCTGACATCTCCACGACTGGTTTTTTACAGTTTTGTTTCTCTTCTGCAGTATCTGCTTTGTTGCATTTTGCATCTTCATCAGAGTTCTCCCCATCTACAGCATCCGTTTGCTTGGGTCCTTCACTCCCAGCGGCAGGCTGGGTAGCATTTGTCTTTTGAGGATCACATTTTTCTTTTGTACAAGGCTGACCATCTTTTACTTCTTGGGGTAGTACTGGCCTAGGTAGTTCTTCGCAGGTTTTGTTCTCCTTTTGAGCACTATCTTTATCACATCGTGTGTCTTTCGTACCAACTTCACCATTTGCACCCTTTGGTCCTTTTTCGCCATCAAGCGAACAACTACCCTCAGCACCTTCACTGCAGTGAGCAACAGGAGTACCTTGAAGAAGAATCTTTGTCTCACTCTCTGTATCAGGGACTTGGTCGGAAAGATCGGCGGCAGGCACTTCTTCAGCGAGGACGTGCACACACGCACATGAGAGCAGGAGAGCGAGGATACACAGCACGTAGCGCATCATTACCATTACAATACTTCTTGTAGTAGTCTTACTTCAATCATTTACACACAAGAAACCCCAATAATAAAAACAGAAACAAAGTGAATCAAAGAATAAACAAGAAAATAAGAACACATACCAAATCAAAGAACAGATAAGAATTACAGAAGAGAGACACACACATTGCAGAAAACTGCAACCATAACTCATATAATACCCAAATAAAAAGAACAACGCATACAATACCCAATAACAAACAGATAATCCCAATTAACCCTTCAAAAGAAAAATAAAAGAAATTAAAGATAACGACCATCAGAAGCAGACAGCACAGAAATACATCAAAAATGACTCTTCTGGTCGAACCAAGCACAATTACAAATATACTTATGTATTCTTTATCATTTTTTCTTACCACAAAGGAGTACAACAGACAACAATGCAGGAGACAGCACACAGCGCCCAAGCAAACAAAGAAAGAATCATGTATTAAACATTAGCCCAATTTACCCAGTAAACACAGAAATATATACCAACTATAGGTGTAAGTCTATCTATGTGTATATATACGCAGTTATAAATATAAATCCATCTGTTATTATCATTATTTCCTTTTTCCAGTACAAAAACAAGTTCATCATTATTATCACAGTGCAAGCCCAGGTGCACACATAGAGAGAGTCTCCAAGAACACACACACACAATGAAGTAGCAATAATAATTATTATAGGATAAACATAGAGAGCAAAAACAACACACAAAACACACATTAACATTAAAGAAACAAAAAAAGAAGAAGAGAATCCCTATAGATGGAAGATTAGTTAGACTGTAGGGATGCATGCAAAAAAAGAAAAAGAAAACAAAGGATGACCTAAGTCACACCACACCACACCACCACCATTACAATCAGCACACAAGAATACAGGCCAGTGTAACCACAATCAGTAGTGGTACACGCACCCACACAGAACTGCTGATACTGCTGCTGCTGTCTGCATCACCCTTCTTGTTGTTTATGGATTCAGGAGGAAGTGTCGTTGTTGTGGTGGTTGATTCATCATTATTGGTTGTATTGGCAGTATCCCTCATTGCATCACCTTCTGTAGGTGCACGTGAAGTTGGTGAAGTAGACTGAACACCATTATCTCCTTCTTCTGTGTGTTGATTCCCGTTATTTTCTTCAGTTCCTGTACTGCTCGCTGCAGTAGTTGAAGATGTTGTACTTCTCCCTGTACTCCTATCATCCCTCCCTTGTGGTGGGGTTTCCAATTTCTCAGCTTGTCCCTCTGCAGTTATTTGTCTCTCCTTCCCGTGACCAGCAGCTGGAGAGTCATCCTCATTCTGTGCTTTAGAACCCAACGCTTCTCCTCCTTCAATCTGGGGATCAATATTTTCAGTTGTACGTGGACCAGTCTCACGTGATCGAGAAGTAGTTTCAACATCAACAGCAGTAACTCCAGGCTCTCCACGTGCAGAATCAGGATTAGCAGTAATATCACTTGCTTCTCTTTCAGGTACGACACCAACATGTGGATTGTTTTCTACCGCTTTCTCGCCTGCTTCGTTGAGTTCATCTTCCGTACCGCTGCTAACACTTCCCTCTTCTCGATGGCCTCCATTTGTGTGGATCACCGGAATAAGCGGCTGTACCAGTTCGTGTGATTGATCTGGGTGAAGATGATCATCATTACGTCCTCTACCACCACTAATATCTGCACACTGAGATTTATCATCCACAGGGGGTAAACCACGTGGACAAGAAGAAGCTTCAGATTCTCCATCGCCACGACCTGGTGGACCCCCAGAACCAAGTTCCGTAGGTATAGCCTCAAGATCTTCAGCTTCAGCTTGAGCAGCTACCACATAACTGCAGAGACAACAGAGTGCGATAGTGAAAACACAAAAGACATTGCGTACTGACATCATTACTTTTTCCCGTTGGTGTTACTATCTCAATTTGGTAATCTAAACAAAACAAAAAACAGAAAGAGGCAACGATAACACAAATCAAGACAAAGACACATAAAGAGAAGAAAACGAAAAGGGTAATAGAAAACCAAGCATAACAGGTAACTGCAAACATCTCTCAGATAGTTTCCAAATGAAAGAAACAAGCACACAACACCCATTACCAAACAGATAAGCACAATTAACCCCTTAAAAATAAGAAAAAGAAATTAAGAGAACGACCATCAGAAGTACAGCACAGAAATAAATACCCCTTTCACTTTCAGTAGAACCATGTGCAAAATTATGAATATATATGAATTCCTTTTTATTTACTCTCTGCACAAAACAATTCAACGCATCATTGAAACCGAAAGCACAATGCGCCCAAGCAAAGAAAAAATGTTTGAAAAAACAAAAAAAAAACACAAACCGCAGAAACAATAACACAACTCTCTATGTACACTGGTCTGTTCAAGCAATTAAGAACTGAAATTGTATAAATCACTATTTTTTTCTTTGCTCTGCAAAAAGCATTATCACCACAACGCTGCAGGTCAAAGCCCATAACAACCCAGCAAAATCATCAAGCAAACAAACAGATATTAACCATTAGCCCAATTTACCTAGTAAACACAGAAATATACACCAACTATGGGTGTAAGTCTATATGTGTATATATACGCAATTATAAATATAAATTCATCTATTATTATTATTTCCTTTTTGCTCACTTCAAAAAACAGTTCATCATCATCATCACAGTGCAAGCCCACAGGCACACAGAGAGTCTCCAAGAACACACACACACACACAATGGAGTAGCAATAATAATTATTATAGGATAAACACAGAGAGCAAAAACACATTAACATCAACATTAAGAAACAAAAAAGAAGAAGATAATCCCAACAGGTGAAAGATTAGTTAGAATGTAAGGTTGCATGCAAAAAAAGAAAAAGAAAACAAAGGATGGCCTGAGTCACACCACCACAATCAGCACACAAGAATACAGGCCAGTGTAACCACAATCAGTAGTGGTACACGCACCCACACAGAACTGCTGATACTGCTGCTGCTGTCTGCATCACCCTTCTTGTTGTTTGTGAGTTCAGGAGGTAGTGTTGTTGTTGTTGTGGTGGTGGTGGTGGTGGATGTTTCTGTATTTCCCACATCAGTGCTTTGGGTGCCTGTTGACTCAGTTCCTGCAGATGTATTGCCATTCTCAGTAGGTGAAGTGTCAGATCCACTGGTACTCTCTGTGACTGTAGTGGTAGAAGAAGAGTTTTGTTGTGCTGCACCGTCAGCATTTGTTGCACTTCCAACTGCTGCACTGTTATCGGTGCTTTCAGCTTGATCTTCAACTGCAGTCGGACTACCAGGTCGCTCACCAGGTGGAGAAGCAGCGTGATCAGCTTCGCCTTGAATAGGTTCCGTAGCTTGACTTGCTTCCGGAATAGAATTGGGTGAAGCAACATCACCACCAGCAGGAAGAGCACCAGTACCAGCAGGACCACCAACGGCATTATCAGCTCCTGTACCTGGTCCAGCAGCACCAACAGCGCCAACAGGACCAGTAGGACCGTGATCGCCTTCACGACCTCCTTCGTTTGTTGTATTTGGAGCTGGTTCCTTTGGTGAAGTTGGAGCCGGTTCTTTTGGTGAAGTTGGAGCTGGTTCCGTTGTAGGTTTGCATGGAGGAACAGAATCTCGAAGACAATTCTCTTTGGCGTCACCACTTTCGGTAGGACAATTCTTCTTAGCAGCTTCCGCACAATCAGTAGGAGGATCTTCAACTCTAATAGGAGCAGGAGGACACTGTGGACCAGGAGAACAAGTACCAGCAGGGCCAGAAGGACCAGAAGGACCTGCCTCACCACTCTCCACTAGTGCGCCTGCACCAGGAACCTCTTCAGTGGCCAAACACACAGAAGCAATGCTTAGCAGCAAAGTCAGTAAATACAACACACGGTATAACATCATCATCACAAAAACAGTATTTTTTCCTCTGTTTAAATCAGTTAACTGGAAAGAGAAGAAAACAAAAGTAAAAGAATAGAGAACTCACAAAGAGAAAAAAGAAAAGAACAAACAGCAGTAAAACAAAAACAAACAACACAAACTATACGAAATCCAACAACGCTGCACCGCATAAAATGCCCCACAGAAAGCAATAACGAAAACAAAACAATTGTAGGCAGGACCAAGGACTCACCAAACACAGAAATCAAACGAACATTGGGTGTGCTTCACTTAATGTGCAATTATGAAAATCTATTTTCCTATTATTGTGTCCGTTTCACCCTTGAAGGGAGAAAACATTAAAACGGTGCAGACCAAAGAACAAAAGAACTACAAAATCACAAGCAAAAAAAAGAAACATTAAAAAGTAGCCCAACCTAACCAGTAAACACAGAAATTCACCAACTATGGGTGTAAGTCCATATATGTGCATATACAAGCAATTATAAATATAAATTCATCTGTTATTATTATTTCCTTTTCCCTCACTACAAAAAGCAATTCATCATCACAGTGCAAGCCCAGGCATACACACAGAGAGAGTCTCCAAGAACACACACACACACACAATGGAGTAGCAATAATAATTATTGTAGGATAAACACACAGAGAGCAAAAACACACACAAAACACATTAACATGAAGAAACAAAAAAAGAAGTAAATCCCAACAGGTGGAAGATTAGTTAGACTGTAGTGATGTATGCAAAAAAAAGAAGAAAAAACAAAGGATGACCTGAGTCACACCACCATCACAATCAGCACACAAGAATACAGGCAAGTGTAACCACAATCAGTAGTGGTACACGCACCCACACAGAACTGCAGATACTGCTGCTGCTGTCTGTATCACCCTTCTTGTTGTTTGTGAGTTCAGGAGGAAGTGTTGTTGTTGTTGTGGTGGTGGTGGTGGTTGAATCAGCGTTGACATTCTCTTGTGAACCTTCTGTTCCAGTTGTATCTGCAGCCGCATTAGTCTGATTACTGTTATTACTGTCACTACCCTCATCTGCACCTTCCGACGGAGTTTGTAGGTTGGTGTTGTTGGAACCACCGTCTCCAGAT